ACTTCAGTTGTGTCTATGTAATACACGTCTGCCATGTCAGGTGTCAGGTAGATACGCATTGCTGCCTTGTCGTGTCACCTGTCCTGTGAGTGACATGTGGTTTTTGCTCTCTCAGCCTCTCTCTCTCTCGCTCTCTCTTCTCTCGCTCTCTTCCGCTCTCTCTCTCGCTGCTCTCTCCCGTCTCTCTGCTACACAGTCATGTTACTTCTCTCCTCCGGGCGCATGGCTGTCCTCGTCTCTCTTCTCTCTTTCCGTCTCTCCGCTCCGCTCTCTCTCTCCCTCTGTGTTCTCAGCAGCAGTAGCACAGGCAGCAGTAGGGGCAGCAGTAGAAAAAAGCAGCAGCAGTAAACAGCAGCAACAACAGCAGCAAGCAGCAGCAGTAACAGGCAGCAGCAGCAACAGCGCAGTAGTAGCAGTAGTACAAGCAGATAGCAGTATCTGCACTCTCTCTTCTCTCATCTCTCTGCTCTCTCTATCTCTCTCTCTCTCTGCTCCTTCCTCCTCGTCTCTCTCTCTCGCTCTCTCATCCTCTCTCTCTCGCTCTTCCTCTCTCTCTCGGCTCTCGTCTCTCTCTCTCTCATCTCTCTCCTCTCTCCCTCTCTCCCTCTCCTCTCTTCTCCCTCATCTCTCTGCTCTCTCTCCCTCTCTCCCTCTCCTCTCTCTCTCTCTTCTCTCTCTCTGCTCTGCCTGTTTGCTCTCTCCCCTCTCTCTCTCTCTGTGTTTCTCTCCTTCCCCTTCCCCCCCCTCTCTCTGTTTCTCCCTCCCCCTCTCCCACGTACACGAGCTCTCTGATATCGTTATGCACATGTACTCATGTTATAGGGGGCGCCACGCACGTACATCAATATGATCATGCGACAACAAGAGCTTGTCACATGAGAGGTCGTCAGACATAATCAAAAGTAGAAAAACAGACGCTAATGAGCATGAGAGAGTGAATTGCTAGTGAGGGAGCAATATTACCATGTGACGGCTCAGGGTCACGTGTATTAGCTACGTCACGTGTTTACGTGATGTCACGTGTGTTAGGGCTGCCCCGTCAACGTGTTGTAACTACGTCACGTGTTTACGTGACGTCACGTGTATTAGCTACGTCACGTGTTGTAACTACGTCACGTGTTTACGTGACGTCACGTGTATTAGCTACGTCACGTGTTGTAAGCTACCACGTGTTTTAACGTGACGTCAATGTGTATACGCCCACGATTGGATATGAAATGTTACACATGAAGATATTACACAACAAAACCATGCATGACAAACTGCACATGGCGTGCTAGTATCACGTGATATTACACATTGTTCCATGCGCCCTCTATTCGCGAATATATTAGTAATTATACATCTGATCACACAGCGGTGGCGCCATCTGTGGCGCGATTTACGCCCCTCTGCGTTTTACCGTTTTTGCGGCGCTGTTTTCCGACATCATTCGCATGACCCGCGCCACCGATGCAACATGAGTGAGATCGTGTTGCCATCTAGCGCTGGCTTAGTCGCGGATACACTACACCCCGCGCATCCCCGGCACGTAAACGTGCGACGGTGCTGCCCCTCGTGGCAAGGCAACGAACTACCATCGTCGTGTCCTTCTCCTTATACTCCTCAAAGTCCTTCGTCTACGGTGCTGCCACCTGTAGTAGAGTATCCTATAATACACTCATATACACACACGTATATTTAACACGGTGTCCGTCCGTCCAGTTACAGACACCATATGCTGCACTCTTCATATGCTGCACTCTTCATATGCTGCACTCTTCCTATGCACACGTACGCTTGTCCTGTATATGTCAGGATACCGCCATCAGCTGTGACGGTGCTGCCACCTGTGGTTGAGTATCTACATAATACATTCATATACACTCACGTATTATTTAACACTGCACTGTTCACAGACACCCTCATATATACACTCATATATATATATATATATATATGATACACACACACTTGATACGTCACTGATACCGCCATGGGCCATGCTGCCACCTGGCGACCACGCACGGTGGCTCCCTCTCGCGTCCGTCGACTTCCCCCGTCAGTCCCCACCAGGGGGCGTTAGAGACACTCCCTGTGGTGAGCGTGCTGTACTGACGGAACGTGAACGGATCCGTGGGGGCGGTAGGGGATCTGCGCTAGAAGGAGGGCCGACGGAGGCAGTCCCCCTCCTCCCAGCCCTCCTCCTCCTCCTCCTCCCAACCCTCCTCCTCCATTCACATCGAGGAACTTCTCCACGCTGGGTCGCTTGCGTAGTGGCGGTCTCTTGTCTTGCGTGCGGCGACACTTGACGGCAAATTTCAATTGGTCGGCGAGTTCGATGCACAGAGGGCGCTGCAAGAGATTGAAGTTCACTTGTTATTATTCTTGACGGCGAATTCAATTGGTCGGCCGAGTTTCGATGCACAGAGGGCGCTGCAATAGATTGAAGTTCACTTGTTATTATGCTGAGCGTTGGCAGTATATAGGGAGGATGTTCTCTATACCATATATATTTAGTTATATGAGTTTATATATATAATATATATATATATAATATTACATGTGCTTTAGTGAGACAAGTAGACAACAAGTAAGTAATGAAGACAAACATCTAGATGAATGATATAATTAACGATTTAAAAAGATCGACCGAGTGGCGGATGAGTAAGGGAGAGAGCATGAGAAAGAGGCGGTGGAGAGGAGAGAGAGAGACGAGACGATACGAGAAGAGACGAGAGGATGATCGGAGATGAGAGTAAAAGAGACTGAGGACGAGAGTAGAGAAGAGGAGAGGGAGAGAGGAGACGATCGAGGAGAGAGAGCAGAGAGAGAGAGGAGAGTTAAAGACCAGGACCGACGGAGTCTGAGAGAGAGCAGCAGGGAGTAGAGATGAGAGAGAGATGGATGGCAAGTCCGCTTGTTTGAGAAGACGAGATGACGGACGAGGACGAGAAAAAGGGACGGAGAGAGAGAGAAGGAGTGAGAGACAGACGAGAGGACGCAGCGAGAGCGCAGGGACGAGAGCGACGGGGAGGAGAGTAGTAAAAGGAGAGAGAGAGTTGAGGGAGGAGAGATGAGGCGGCCGGAAGGATAGAGAGGGAGAGAGAGGAGGGAGAGAGAGAAGTCGGGGCGCAGCGAGGGAGAGCGGCGGGAGGAGAGGAGAGAGAGAGAGAAGAGGGGAAGAGGGTTAGATGCAGAGTAGAGAGAAAGTGAGAGACGAGAGAGAGAGACAGACAGAGACGAGAGTAAGAAAGAGCAGAGAGATGAGAGAAGAGAGACGAGGAGAGACGGACGGAGAGAGACGAGAGGAGACAGAGAGAGAGTAAGAAGACGAGAGAGGAGAGAGAGAGAGAGCCGAGGAGAGGAGAAGAGAAAGGAGGAGAGGGGAGATAGAGAGAGAGAGAGAGAGAGAGATAGAGAGAGATCTCACAAAACACAGCTACACATAAAAAGAGATCAAAGATCAAGATAAGAGAGAGAATAGAAAGCTTCCTTACACTAGATACCTGGTCGTTGTCCGCGAACTGTCTCGCCTTCCACACGAACTCGACCAAGCCAATGACAACAGCGAGCCCAAGTCCGCCAACCAGTAGCACAAACACGCCACCTAGCGTCGACAGATCCAACTCGTTAGCCTCTTGTTTGTTTTTCTCCTCGGCGCCGCTGCACGCGGCGGGCGCTTTCTGCTTCCACCAATGATCCTTGATCATGTGGAGCACCGAGTCTTCCTGTAGCCGCAAGATGGCGCTACTAACCAGGTCTCTGACGGGCGAGTCTGCGAAGACAAGTGAACGTGTACGGCGGGGTTTCGTATTGTTGTTGTTGTTGTTATTGGAAATTGTTGGAAATGGTTGTTTTGCATGGAAAATGGTGCGAATGGTCATTATTTCTCATAGAAATTGTTGAGAAAGGATTACTTTTCCTCATTGAATTTCGTGGAAATGGTGGTTTTTTATAGAAATTGTTGGAACTAGGCGTCCATCTGTGCGTGCGTGCGTGCGTGCGTGCATGCGCGTGCGTGTGCGTGCGTGCGTGCGTGCTCGTGAGTATACATCTATCTATAGCTAGCTTACCCTTGGGTGTTCCTATGTGCGTGCGTGCGTGCGTGCGTGCGTGTGTGTGTGCGTGCGTGCGTGTGTGTACATCTATCTATAGCTAGCTTACCCTTGGGTGTTCCTATGTGCGTGCGTGTGTGTGTGTGTGTGCGTGCGTGCGTGCGTGCGTGCGTGCGTGCGTGCGTGCGTGTACATCTATCTATAGCTAGCTTACCCTTGGGTGTTCCTATGTGCGTGCGTGCGTGCGTGCGTGCGTGCGTGTGTGTACT